GAGGAGGTGCTGGCCTCTTTTCAGTGGTGGCCGCTGATAGAACTAGAGGAAACGGCCAGAAACTGAAGCATCAAAAGTTCCACAGGAACTTAAGGAAAAATTCCTTAACAGTGAAGGTGACAGAGCACTGGAACAGGCTGCCAGAGAGGTTGTGGAGTCTTCTTCTCTGGAGGTCTTCAAAACTCATTTGGACACAGTCCTGTGCCAAATGCTCTAGGTGATCCTGCGTGTGCAGGGGGGTTGGACTAGATGACCTCTAGAGGTCCCTTCCAACCTTAAGCATTCTATGACTCTATGAAATACAGCTGATTTCAGAGCAGTTTGTTAGTTTGCCTGTTAAAATAACATTCAATAATAGCATCTGTGTCTTCAATAAGTGTAACATTGTTACATTACTAACCCAGTTTGTTGTTTCTGTTGTTTCAGAGGAGAGAAAAATTTCCATATTTTTTATTATATTTATGCTGGTCTCGCAGAAAAGAAAAAATTGGCACATTATAAATTGCCAGAATATAGACCTCCCAGGTAATGCAGTTTATTTTTACATAAATTGATGACTAAGAATTGCAATGTTATTGAATTCTCAATCTCATTTACATTTTAACTTGTGTCTGTCAACTCTTTCAGGTATCTGCAAAATGATCATTTCAGAATAGTGCAAGATTTTATGAACAATGGCTTTTATAAGTCCCAGTTTGAGTTAATTGAACAATGCTTCAAAGTCATAGGTTTTACACTGGAGGTGAGTGTTGATAAGTCTGTTCTTTTTTCCTTTTATTTTTGAATGTTAATGTACCTTGCTCAAAAAAAAGTTCAAATATATACATATATGTATATGTATGTGTGTGCGTGTTTGTGTGCATATACATCTATATTATATACAAAAAACATTCAAATGATCTCCCTTGTTATTTTTCTTCTCGTAGCTGTGTTTAAGTTTTAGAATATTGTATACTCAGTTTACTACATTTAATTTTTAATTATTATTAAAATATTTGATTTTTGAAGGTATCAAATTCTCCACAGGTTAATTAGCCAGTCTGAGGCAGAGTGACTGATTGCAAGAGTGAAGGAGCAGAAAAGACTTCTTCCTCATTGAAGTTCTGATGCAGCAAAAGGAACTATATTAGGAGTAATGCTTTAGGTTATGCTTTGGCATTCATCCAGTTTACAGAAAAGATTTTATATAAGCATGTTTTTTATCAGCAGAAAACTTTCTTGACTTAAATTAAATTTCAGTCCTCAGTGGTGTGGAGTTTTTTTGTTGCTCTTTTTTTTTTTCTTTTAACTTTATTTTTAACTTTCTGACAAGCTTTAGTGGTAACTTTACTGCTACTACTTTGTGTCTTAAAGCCACACTGTTTTACTTTAGGTCACATGGCAAAATTAATAGCAAAGAACTGCCTGGGGGAAGCAGGAATCATTCTGTGTGAGAGCGATCAACTCAGATTTAGCACACACTGGAAAAGGGCACAAAAATGTCAGCAATTATACATATTGTACAATCTAATGGAAGAAGTCAAGCTATTGATTTCTTTGCATTTCCTCTGGGTTCCTAAGCTTAAAGTGAAAATTATTGCTTGAAACCTAGACAAACTGTGAGCCAATTATCCAGAGCATAATTTTTTTTAGAGCAAGCTTGTTTAGTTTGTCTTGCTCTCACAGGAATAATTAATTTATTAACTGCTAGATTAACTTCTGCAAGTGCTGAAAACAAGATCAGGTCTTTTAGAGCAATGAAGAATTTTATCTGAGTAAATGATGCCAGACACTGTACCAGCGCACTACTAAATGTTAGGAATAAACTGCTGTAGAATTATGCAAAGTCTATCCTCATAAAACTTCAATCAATTCAAGTTTTAAAACTGCTTCTTATAAAACTACTATAAAACTTATGGAACTCATACATTCCACTATTGTTGTTTGGTTTGGAATATATACTATTCCAAATTCCTAGCTTAAAACTTAGCCCGATTTATGGAAATATTTTAGAAAATACTTAGAAATCATAAAGTATGAGAACTGTTCACAGTTCATATGAAAATTCACAGCTGAAAGTTCACAATTCAAATCTAAATCAAGCCTGTAACAAAAGCATTATCTCATTAATTGCAAGTATAATTTTGTCCTATATAAAGTACTTAAAAACACTTATGTATCATTTTATCATACAGACT